GTTTTGAGCACATCGGTTTGGAACGACCCTTCAATATGGCGGCCATGATTGTTTTCACTCTGAAGTGCCCTTCGGAGGGCGATATATCCCATTTGGAACGCACCGTATGTATATGTGTTCCTTGTTTTTAGATGACTTCTGTAAGGGCATACAACAACACATAAAGACAAACGTTTGGGCTGATGTAATGATATGCTGAAGTGAACTGGTCTTTAGGTGTTTATGTAGAATCTTTTCAGCTTGTAAATTGATTAGGGAGATCCGTAAAGATCCCTGTATATTATAGCATTTTCTGGATTTAATCTAATCACTAGAACATTGCACAGGTGCCTTTCACTGTTATCGCAGCACACATACTGTGAGAAAACTAATTTTACATAAAACAGGCTTTAACTGCTTTGGGAAATAGACAGTCTTGGCAGGACGGAAAAGCGGTGTGAATGAGAGAACCATGAGATAATGACCATGCTGGCTATTAAAGTGATGTGCCTTCCTCAGGCAAGGTGAATCGGACTCATAACCCACCAATAACAACTGGCAGTGTTTCCCACGGAATGTCTGTTCTTAATATTCATGCACAATATGTAGAGTTTTGGTTAAAGAACAATGGATAAGGAAAATGGTTTAAAAATCTTGCATACTCCTACACACTGGTCAGTACAACACTTAATAAACAAAGATAACGAGCATAGTATGGACTTAAATTAAACTTAAAAAGCATAGCAGTTCCTCTTTGTTCGGTTTGATAGAATGATAGAATTGATATCTCATGATTTTGGTCATTCTGTGGTTGAGTGTCAGAGACAGTTGTGCTATTTGCTCAGGGCAGAGGTATTTGCGCGGAGGAAAATGTCACATGGACAAGTAAATCTATTTTGTGACATGCTTGTCTTTCGTCTTCCTCTCTGGAATGCGGTGAAATTTGTTTTAGGATTGAACAACGATTTGCAGGTCTCTCAGTATTGTGTCTTTGCCATGATCCTGATATACGATCCATCTGATTTCTGCAGTTTCAGCTCCCCAGATTTACCTCAGAGAATCCTTTTCCTTCTTCTAAGCCGATCCTGGATGCTCCTTTGTGGTGATTGCAAGTTAAACAGTCCTTTGCACTTTCCGTGTCAAAATTATGACCATCATTGTTTCAAAACTAATAACGACACATACATTTTCCAACACAAGCTTCTACAAAGAGAATTATAGTGCTGTGACAGCAGCAACGCTCGACAAGTAATGGATAGGGACACTCATGAAGGCATACTCATAAATGATCGAAATAGCTTTGGAAAATCTTCAGCTCTTTGGCTTATTCCACAATGATTTACCCTGAAAGTGTATCTATAATGACACACCAGCGAGTCCTTCTCTGACTTTTCGCTTTCAGTAAATTAAAGACTTGATCAGTTCATTTTAAACTGTGTTATCGGCTAGTACAGGCCAGATCTTAGAGGCTTGGCATACTTCTGGTTTGCATTGCCCACCTTGCCATTTAGCTGACACTTTTATCCAAACATCCAGTACATTTATTAGACGGTCAATCCCCCTGATGTCCTGAGGTTAATAGCTTTGCTCAAGGACGTAATGATGATGGCTCTTGGCAGGGTTCTGAACCTACAACCTTTTGGTTGCTAGCCAAGACTTTAACCACTAAGCTATTTAAGTTATTTTTCTCTTGCTGAACTGTATTCAGGGAAAACAACCACAGACCTTTAGTATAATGTGATATTATAGCCCTATTTGAGTTTTGAGGAACCGTTCAAAATGGTCAGTAAGATATTTATTTATTTATCTCAACTTTTGAATGGTAGTGATCATTATTGTTGAACTTTACAGTCATTGAATTCCAAACTGAACTGACTTGAGCTGAAAAATGACATTATCGTCTTTTCAGAGCTGCTTAACAGCAGAATTTCAATTTGCCTCATGTTTGATGAAGTTTGCATCATTGATTGTCATTTTCCTTATTACTCTGAAGCTGCTTGGAAAGAATCTGTATTGTCTAAAGTGCTATTGTCTCCATTTTCATGTCTTAAACTCAACTGACATGAGTGACTTCACTCCCTGAAGCAAGTTTACATGTTTTAGCACTGAGTTCTCAAGAGAAACTATAATGCTTTATTTTCTTCAATTATTAATTGTTTGTTTTCTATCTGTCACCATAATGCCATGCAGATGACAGTAATTATGCCGGTTTGACACTGTAATGTCAACTGTAATTGGGTACTTCTGGTATCCACCAACAGGCTGAGAAGAACCATGACAGAGTGTACTGTTTTCACGTGTCCTCTGGGTAATGGGGATTGTCTGGTGAGAATGAGAAACATAGAAGACGTAGATCTCAGTTTGGACAGCATTTGTGCGAGATGCATTTCTGTTTGATGCTCCTGTTCAAAAGACTGATTTGACTGGGAATTCGGAGACAAACAGCTAAATATTGTTTGAACATGGCAGATGCTCATTAGAATCAGACATTAGGTGTCTCTATCCTCCTCACATATGAACATGTCCTCCCTCCGTCCAGGGTTAGTGATTGAGTGAATGGCTGAAAGTAAACATAGTGAATATGTTTCATATTGAATATACCAAACTGCCGCCATCAGTCACGTCTGCTGGGGCTCTTCTGGGACAGTTTGTGTCTGGAAGCTGTCTTTGCATATGCCGTATCATTTTTTGCCATTCATCATTGGGATATTTGTCCAGTTCGGCATACCCAGTTGTCTCCAGTTGTCTGAGACGGAACAATAGCAAGGAATCAGATTTTTGTATGCCGTTTGGAACTTGCAGTAACTTCTTGAATTGTTTCACTGCTCATTTGCATACAGTTGAACTTTGCCTTGTCAAATGTGAACTGTCGCTCATTGCCTCATTATGATTTTCAGTCGCTTATATGCTACAAGATATCAGTGTGAACACCAGTTTACATATAAAGAAAGGAGACCAGAGTATGCCACATATTAGGAATGTCAGTTTTCAGGAATTTTCATGATTGATTGATTTTGTTTTTTTATTAAAATATTGATCGATCAATTCATTAAATTGCTAAACATGTACCAAATACCATATGCAACTTGTTTTTATGGGCATGTAGGTATTGCAATTTCGTTCTCTTATTAAATTTTCAATAAAATAAATTTATTGGTAACACTTTACAATAAGGTTCCATTAGTTAACATTAAGATTAATAAATAATGTAACAAATGGTTTGCTCATAATGCATTAATATAGTTAAAAAATGGAACCTTATTGTAAAATGTTACAGATTTATTTATATGTATTACATTTGTTACACATTATGTAATAATGTTGTATTAAAATACATACATACATGAAATACATGTGTGTATACACATACATTTTATGTTATATAGTATAACAATATTTATTATATAATTTAACAATTTATATAATATAATATAATAAATATTATGATTTATTATATAAAGTTTAATATAAATGTAATTATATTTAGGGATGTCAAAAATAATGCATTAATTGTGATTCTTTTTTCTTTGTCTTTTTTTTTTGTTTAACGCTTTAAAAATGCATTTAATACAGACATCAGTAACAGTATTGGTATCAGTCATACCGACCTTCCTTAATAATAGGCTATTTAGTAAAAAATATGCCATTAAACACATATTTAAAATAATTAAACATTTTTATTTTATGTAAAAATATATTTGTTGTTTCTGCATTCATTTGGAGATTCAATCGGAAATTATAACAATATAAATACATTGTATTAATATGTGATTAATCGCGAAAAAAAAAAATTGTGATTAATTAGTTAATTTTTTAATCAATTGACAGCACTAATTATATTATATTTAATATATTATAATTAAGTATAATTAGATTTATTTATTTACATTTTATATAAACAGGTCTATAAAATTCTAAAATAAAATTTAAAATATGCTATATAAAATAAAATTATCTTTCTCTGTATATAAATAACGTCTAGGTTACTTGTGTAACCGAAAAAACACTCTTTCAGAGAGAGCGCTGAAGCGCCCAGGGGAGGTCGCGGCGGGACCGCAGAATGAAAGCTGCAGCTCGCCGAGGTTTCAGCAGCCTGGATGGCAACCCCCGCTGATACACCGTCACACCAACGCCAGCTGTTTTTCCAAAACACTCGCGGAGATTTGCTTACTAGAAGGCTCGGCTCCGAAGCGAAAAGCTGATGTGCGTTTGCACGAGCTCTCCTTTTATACCCGCGCTGCGGGGCGGGGTGCGCGTGGCGAAACACGCACGCCAACTGTCATTGGCTTGTTTAGTTAACACTCGAAGGTGATTGGGCTCTCGGGCGAGATCCCAATTCGTCAGTCACGACTGACGTAACGTCGAACGTGACTGACTGAAAGGGAACTCTACTAACACACTACTACATGTGCTTGTTGCCATTTAACTCTATCACAGTTTTTTTGCAGTGAACATAATCATTATTTATAGTGATGCACTGTTGAATATGCCAAGACTGCTTCATTTTTATAATTTGAGGGTGTGTTGCGTGTGTCGCCCACTGCTTGTATTACTTAACACCTTTCTGTTGATCCTGCTGAAATTGATCAACAATTAATAAACTGTTCTGACTTAAAGACTGATCTTTACAACACATCAGCCCACACACCTTGAAAGTAATAACTAAATTCAGTTAAGTGCTAATTTTCTCCATATATGCTGGAAAAGATTACTTGCCTTGGCATTTTAGCCTTGTAACCGTGAAGCCCTCAGACCTGAGTAATGACCAGCTGGAGCACAGCATCCATCCTTCAAAAGCTTTGACTCTTTAATATGCCGCTTTTAATAGAGCCTGCAGTCAGAAAAGGTCTGCCATGATGGGCATCTCAGCTCAGTAAACACTGGATTCTCTCATTTCTTCCCGCATCTTGTGGGTGCTTTTACTCTCCTAAAACAGATAGTTTTGAAATTGAAGTGCTGCTTCACTGCTTTATGTTGTTATTTCATGTGATTGTAATGTCTTTTCTCTTTTTCTTCTATAGAAAAATGTGACGAAACTCTGGTCAGACCACTCCCCCACAATGCCTTCACCAGCTCCTCTGTGTTCACTAGTGGCTATGCACCTGGATACGCCAAGCTAAACAAAAGAGGAGGTAAATTTTCATAATACTAGCTCATACACATATTCATGTCCACCAATGTGACTTGCAGAATGAACAAACCCTTTTTCTTTCATCACAATACCTTTATGAACTTTCTTTGGCTGTTGTTTTTTATGCAAACAGTATATTGCAAACTTGATATATTTTTGTGTCATTCCAATAAACATCCATACAGTATATGGCACCGCAGAGTCATTACTTCAATAACTCCAGCCTGGAATTATTGTGTGAATTACTGGGCTACAACGGCTCATCCCATTATGCCAAACTGTGCTTTGGAAAACACTATGTGCTTAAGACTAATTGAGCGAAAATCTACAACAGATGTAACAACGCTGTGATTTATCTCGGTGAGATGTGCACAGTTCACATATTTGTTATTTTCAGTTTGTTCCTCATCACTCATTAAAAATGTTATTTAATTAAAATGGAAGCTCTCGTGTCCTCGTAGGACGTCTCTGAAGTTTAGTTTGGCATCTTTGATGGAACGAGATCATGTTTTTATTTATTTATTTATTTTACGAGGGAGAAAGCAGAAAGAAATAAACCACTGCTAATTGTGCGTCAAAAGCATTTTTTGTTGTTGTTTTGTTTAGTTTTTTTGCTGTGATAGGCTCTCAAGGGAGAACAAATTCAGATCCAAATGGATGTTTTATATATGAGCCTCGCTGTGGGAGTCTGTGGAGGCCATGGGTCTGATTTGAAAGGCTTTAAATTGTATGTTATTTCCAAGCTCTATGAGTCACTGGGCTCTATTATGTACACAAAATACTGTGATATTAATCGCTACTGTAACTATGCCTCATATTACAAATCCTTCTAAGAGTCACAGTGTAAGCTCTACACAAATCTTTCTTCCCTGAGGAAATTCAGTATTGCCTTTGCATGAATAAATTGGTGTCCATTGCATGTCTATATGCATATTTTTTAGTTGTTTATTCTGTCAAGCAGAGCTCATGTAGCCTACATATGTGGCAGTTTACCTCAAAGGAACAGTTCACAGAAAAATTACCATTCTGTCATAGCATAGCTCGGTCATTATTCTATGATAACTTTTAGCCAGGGGTGTGAAGTAACGAATTACAAATACTCACGTTACAGTAATTAAGTAGTTTTTATCAGTAATTGTACTTTTTTCAGTAGTTAAAAAATTGTGTACTTTTACTTTTACTTGAGTACATTTTAAGTGATGTATCGGTACTTTTACTCCACTATTTCCTCCGTTTGTGGTCGTTACATGCTTATTTTAATTTTATTTTTATCCATGAACGTGATTGGATAGTGAGATAGTAATAGGTCTCGTGACTTTCGTCAAATCAAATTGTGCATATACAATTTTAACCGCCAACTGTTTATCATGGCTGCTGGAAGTGCATTCTTCAAGCATCAATTCAGTCGCATCTTCCTCTAACTTAATATGTTAAGGTAAATTTCGGATTTCTGCTTACTAAATGATTTGTATATATGCTTGCCTATCTACACGGCCTGAAATTTGGTGTGAGGTTGCGGGTATTGCATACAGTGATAACTCACGCAAGTGCCACGTTCGGTAAAATTCCCACTCACTTATGAGACACGCGATCTGCACTGCCTCGTCTCTCTCTCTCGCGTGCGTTCTGCAGCAGTCACTTGGATAAGTCGTTGTTGCTTGTTGAACTTGTTGACTTTTGATGAGTTTGAGCGCGTGATGAAAAACTGTGAAAAAGTGTGTTGGAAACACTGTTGGAAACACAAATTGAGAACCAATCTGCACCTTATTGATGACCCGTGGTCATCTGTGCCAGTGCGTGATGTAATAAAACTGCAGCTCGCTAATAATCAACTGAATACTGTTTCCGTGCTGTTTTGATGTATTTTAAAGAGTTGGCAGTCAAAATTAAAACTGCTGGATAATATATATTCTTTGTTCTTTATGACAAACAAGATAATGTGAATTATAGAATGTACAACATTTTTAAAATGGATAAATTGTGGTGTACAGCATTTATTATGAGGGGGTAGAATCCACAGCTCAGTACTCACTACTCAATACTCATGAGTAACTTTCATCTTTTCTTCAACTGAATACTGTTTCCGTGCTGTTTTGATGTATTTTAAAGAGTTGGCAGTCAAAATTGAAACTGCTGGATGATAGATACTCTTCATTCTTTGTGACAAACAAGATAATGTGAATTACAGAATGTACGTTTTTAAAATGTGTAAATTGCGGTTTACAACATTTATTATGAGGGCGTAGAAACCACAGCTCAGTACTTACTACTCAATACTCATGAGTACTTTTAAATAGGCTACTCTTTTACTCTTACTTAAGTAGTTTTTTGGACAAGTACTTTTACTCTACTCACACTACATTTTTTGGAAGGTAATAGTACTTTTACTTGAGTATATTTTTTCAGTACTCTTTCCACCACTGCTTTTAGCATATTTTATGTAAGGGTGCACAATGTATCACTACCATATTGATTGTTGGCTATCGGACAATAGATTTATTTATTGATATCAGTATGGCTATTGTGGTTATTGAAATAAACTAAAAGCTAAAATAAAATAATATTAGATGAAAAAAATACACAAACTAGAAATGTTGCCTTTGAAACTGAATTATTATAATAGTATTTTAATTATAATTATTATAATTTTCACAATCCGCTGAAGCACGGGCACGAAGAAACGAGGAGACGTGGAGATAAAACAAACGGGGGGAAAACACGGAGGTTACGGTTTTAGGTCGGGTCTTCTGTCACGTTACGCTGTCGGAAAAAACACGGAGTCGTGGATAATCGAAAGAGTCTTTAATAGTTTCCAACACAGAGGGCACATCCAACACAGGGAACAGGAGGTAGACATACGTACATCACTGGTAGACCTGACAAACACTAACTGAACAGACTGGGGCTTATAAACACAGGGCAATCAGGGGAACACAGGTGCATGGAATCATAAAGTAATCAAACTAAACAAGAACAGGAAAAAGACCATAAAAGGAAACACTGGAAGAACTACGGCGGCAAAACGGGTACAAAAGTCTGACATTTCGCCCCCTCCCGGAAGGTGCATCCTCACACCGTAGATACAACAGAGGGAGGGATGGGTGGGAACTTGGGAGGAGGCTCAGGAAGAGGACGGACACCCGGGAGGGGGCCGGCAGACAGAGTCCATGGGGGTGACGAAGGAGAGAGGAGCCAGGGAGGAGACAGGAGGGGCTTGGAGCAGGAGGAGCCAAGCTGGACCCAGGCCACAGCCATTATGATGACCCACGGTTGAGCCGACGGAGGGAGGAGCCTTGGAGGAGGAATGGCCACCGACTCCTGGGGGCCAAACAACGGTGGCAGAGCAGGTGGTGGAGGAGCCCGAGGCGGAGACGGAGAGCCAACGAGCCAGGGGGATGGCGAGGATCCGGGGGGCCAGGGTGGAGCTCAGGGCTCTGGCGACCGAGGCGGAGATCCGGAGATCCGCAGCGGAGCCGGAGCAACTGAGGACCAAGGTGGAGCTGGGGGGAGGAGAAGGAGCCCAATGGAGCCGGTGGGACGGAGCGACGAGGTGCAGCCATCTGGAGATCCGCGGCAGAGCCGGAGCGACTGAGGACCAAGGTGGAGCTGGCGGGAGGAAGGAGCCCAATAGAGCTGGTGGGACTGAGCAATGAGGTGCAGCCGGAGGAGCGGAGTCCTGAGGCGATGGCGGGTCGACTCCCGACCAAGGCGGAGCCGGAGGGACGAGGAAGCCCGGTGGAGCTGGTGGATCGATGGGTGACGGTGGAGGTGAGGGAGCTAGGAGGTGAGGCTGAGCCGCTGGGTCTACGGGCCGAGGCGGAGTCTGGAGGCGGAGGTGAGGGATGCTCCAGCCACAGCGGCGATAGAGGATGGCAGACCCGCGGCGCTCGCTCCGAATTGATGGTGGGCTGAGGGGGAGCAAAGAGGCTGCCAGACGACAGCGGTGGAGGAGGCAGGAGCGGGCGGGTGGGTGGTTATTCGTGAGCCTCCGGGCTCTCAGGGCTGCCCTCAGGGATCAGAGCCCACTCCTGACTGGACTGGGAAACGGGAGCCCCCTCAGGGCTGGACAGGACCAGCGGGGACAAAGGAGAGAGGAGAGGGGGCAAGTCGACCTCCAGATCTGTTTCCCAGCCAATCAGGTCCCCTTCTAAGTCCAGCAGTCCCAGATGTATAATTAGCTCACCCTCAGCCACAGTGCAGTGGGTGGAGCTCCACTCCGCCTTCTCACCATCCACGGCTCGCTCCCTCGCAGTGGGCACTGTCGCCGGCTCTCGCACCTAGTCTGACGGGTGGGGCTCCACATCTGGGGTGATCCTCCGCTCAGTCGCTCGGCATTGCGCTGGCTCGTTGTTCGTGGCGGTGATGTGCTCTCCGTTATCGGTGGGCTTGGGCTGATGCTCCACACCGCGGGGAGATGGTGGGCTGGGCATTGGGTCTGGAGTGGATCTGGCGAGATCATCCACGGGGCAGGTGGTGGATGGCGATCCGTTTCTCGCCAGAGTCCACTCCATGAAGGCGGCGAAATCCTCTCGAGGACCATCTTCGGACGATGGCGCATCGTCCGGGTAGCTGGTGGTGCTAGCTAACAGCCGGAACAGGCTCCGCACCGCGGGGAGATGGTGGGCTGGGCACTGGGTCTGGAGTGGATCTGGCGAGATCATCCACGGGGCAGGTGGTGGATGGCGATCCGTATCTCCACGAAGGCGGCAAAATTCTCTCGAGGACCATATTCGGACGATGGCGCTCTGCTCTCTGTGTTCAAGCTTGCATCAAAGAATGAGCAGAGCACGTCGTCCGGGTAGCTGGTGGTGCTAGCTAACAGCCGGAACAGTCTCATATGGTCCTCGAGAGATCTGTCCCCCTGCTCCAGCATTAGATTTATTTTTAATTTAATTGTTTTCTGTATTATTAATTATTATTTTCTATATTATTATATTATTAATTGTTTTCTGCATTATATTATTATATACAATTTAATTGTTTTTATTTAAAGGGGTCATA